AGTCCCCTATTCTTATAATTTAGTGTGTGCACACTGAAAAATTCCCCGGGTGAGTTTTTGTCTCCTGTCAGTGGTCCACAAATATTTATTACATGTCTGCATCGAGCCTGTTCCTGTTTGCTCAGGCCCACGGGTACAATGGCAAACAAAATTTATAAGGGTTAGGTCCCCTGGAGTTTACAGTCCAACCATCAAGCCTACTTGTAAATGATAGCTGGTTTTGAGTTATTTTATTTTTTAAATTATTGTTTGGCCCTGCCCACGGCATGTGGGATCGTAGTTCCCTGACCAGGGGTGGAATCCATGCCCCCTGCATTGGGAGCAGAGAGTGTTAACCATTGGGCCACCAGAGAAATCCCTGAGTTATTTTAAATGGGAGCACGTCAATGGAGGACTCAGTCTAAGGGCTCATAAAGCCTCTTGGAAGAAAAAAAGTTATTGAAGCCAAAATCCACAGTCTTAGAAATGACTAGGATACAGACAGGCAGTGGGCTAGGCTGTGATGGGGCCAGGAATGGGGAGAACATTTTAGCAGGAGGACTCTGCACATGTAAAATCCCTGAAGCAGCTAAAATCCCTGGATTGTACCAGGATGTGAGCAAGACAGGACATGGCTGAAAAAAGAAGCAAGAGAGGAGGAAAGTGAACTAGATTGCAAGAGTCTCAGCCACATGACTTGTAATCGGGAAAGCAAGTTCAGGGTTTAATTTAATTTAATGCTGGTGGGAAGCCATTGTGAGCCGGGGCATCAACAGTTAGATTTGTGTTTAGCAGAGCTAGCTGCACCATGAGGATGCTGGGTGAGGATGGAGTACAGAGGACAAGCTTGACTGGTGGAGAAGAGATTAAGGGTTAGTAGTAGGATTTAGGAATGAGTGATGGTAATCTAGACTCTTGGTGGCTACAAAGTAGAACAAAGTGATGATTTGGGGGGATAGGTTGAAGGTGGAATCCATACTCATTCATTTCTGCACCCAGAATGCTGTACACTTTACGATGTGGCTAGTGATGTGCTAGTGACTGGGTATAGGGTTTTAATAAGAAAAAGCCATTCTCTTGGACATTATAATCTAGTGGAAGAGAAAATATAAGTAAGCAAAGAACTAAATATATAATTACAAATTCTGAGGGCTACATAGGGAGACTCAGACAATAAGATTGGCTTTATATTAAATATGGGGCTCACAATAAAGGTGATTCTGAGGAAATGACATTTAAATGGACAGAAAAATGACAAAGGAAAAATTATCCATGTGTGGCAGGGAACGGGGAAGAAATTAATAGTTGAGCTTTTCTCTGGAGAGAGCACCATTGAAATGATTGGAGTTGGGTGGAGAGAGGGTGTGGCTTGGATTAGTCTGTCAGTTTCTGCTGTTGGGTAGGGTGAAGTCTACAAAGGAATAGTTTTAGGTTTCAGGTGATTGCTGCCTTTGGGGGATGGGGGAGGAAGTGTGCCCATATTTTAAAATTTCAATGGCTGTTGTGGGCTGAGGGGAGAGGAGTCAAGGATTCTGTGGGTTTTAATTGAATCCAGCCCACAGGAGGGGAGAAGTGTTTATCAAATAATTAATCTTCAGTTTTAATTAATTACAGCTGTGGGGTGGGGTAAAGGGTGTGATACCAGCGATGCCTTCTGCCTGCTCTGAATACCTAGAGCATTAGTACTCCTTACTGAGAGCGCAGAGGCTTGAAGGGAAAAGTTTTGGGCAAGAGATAAGTTCAGTCTGATAAGCTTCATCCAAGGTGCCTGCAAAACGTTTAGATGGCCATAGTTGAAAAGGCAGCAGGATACATGGGTCTTAAGCTCAGATTTGAGTTCTCAAACTGGAGATTTGGGTGTTATGAGCATAGAGATGTAAGTTATTTATTTTTAATATTTATTTGGTTGCACCGGGTCTTAGTTGCGGCACCTGGGCTCCTTAGTTGTGGCAGACGAACTCTTAGTTGTGGCATGCATGTGGGATCTAGTTCCCTGACCAGGGAATCTAACCCGGGCCCTCTGCATTGGGAGCGGAGTCTTCCGCTGCGCCACCAGGGAAGTCCCGAGATGGAATTTAATTTCAAGGGAATGCATAGATGTGGAATACACAGAATAAGGTGAGAGATAAGGGCCAGGACTGAGCCTTGAGGACAGTCAACAGTGGGAGAGGAGCTGGCCAATGAGCCTGAAAGACAGTGGCCAGAGAAATAAGATTCTGTAAGGAACGGCACCAAAAATGCAGGAGAGCTTAAACAAGCTTTATTTGGGAACGCTCCCGGGCGAGGTTCACTGGTCCGAGAGAAAGGGGCCAGAGAAGTCGCGCCTGGGTGCGGGCGCGAACAAAATTTATGGGGGTGGACGCAGGGGAGACGCTTGCTGTGTGAAGCAGCCCCCTTTTTCGGTAATCTTTTGGATGTTGTGGCAGTGTCGGTTGCATCAGCTTCAGAGCCGTTGGTTCCGCCCCTCGGGGAGCGGGCGGTTGCATCAGCCTCAGAGCCATTGGTTCCGCCCCTCGGGGAGCGGTTGGTTGCGTCAGCCTCGGAGCCGTTGGTTCCGCTCCTCGGGGAGCGGGAAGACCCGGGCCGAGTGGAAAGTCCCGGGCTGATGCCGCTCGTGGGTCCGGCTGCATTAATCACCCTGGCGGGGGTTCCGTCTGACTCCCTGGGCCCTTCCCCGGACCTGCTGGCCTTACAGATGCCAACCAGGAGATTATGGTAACAAAAGCCCCGAACAGAGGCTGATTTATAGAAGAAAGTAGTGATAGAATTTTTCTGATGAACGAACTAAGTCAAAGACAGAATGGCATTCACTGGATTAATCCTCTTAAATCCTTGGCAGTCTTGGCAGAGCAGTGTCAGTGAGGTGGTGGTGAGACAGAAACCAGTCTGGAGTGTAATTAAGGGAGGTGAGGAAATGGGGAGAATGAGAGGGTGGACCAGTCTTTCCAGAAGCTGGATGGAGAAAAGGAAGAGGAACTGAGCATTTACTGTAGGGCTAAGTGGGACCCAAAGGCATGAATTTGTTTCAAGATGGGAGATTTTTAATTTTTTTCAGATGAACAAGAACATTTATTTACAAAGAAGAGATGCAAGGCAGTATGTATTAGAAAATACAAGGCAATATTTAGAAGATGTAAGAATATGCAATCACTTAAGATAACTCTCAAACTTTAGAAAAATTACAAAGGAAAAAGGAAAAAAAATGAGTATGGAAAATACCTGTCTCCAAGGCCATGCACTTTCTCTTCATTTTTTTTTTAACATTCTTTTTTTTTTAATCTTTTCCATTATGGTTTATCATAGGATATTGAAGACAGTTCTCTGTGCTATACAGTAGGACTTTGTTGTAAGATGGGACATCTTTGATTATGTTTCAATGTTAGAAGTATGAGTGCAGTGGAGTAGAAGTTGATGGTGATGGAAAAGAGCCAAGGAATAATTAATAAAGCAAGCTTTCTGAGAAGGTAGCAAGGGATTAGACCAGTGGTTCTTAAAGGGGACATTTTGCCCTCTAGGGGACATTTGGCAATATCCCTTTCACAACTAGAGGGGATACTACTGGATAGAGATGTAGTATCTGGATAGGGATGCTACTAAGCATCCTACAATGATAGGATGGTACCCCCATAACAAGTATCCAGCTCAGAATGTGCCAAAGGTGGGAAACATGACATAGCAAAGTAGCAGATACTGACTTTAGATAAGAAGGCAGACATACCTTGTTTGCAAAGTGAAAGAAACCATGATGCTGTGGAACTACTTTTGTACTAGTGGCAAGAAAATGTGGAATCCTTCTTTCATTGTTAAGAGTTTCTCTGCAAAGTAAGATGTAAGATCATTTGTTATTGAAGAGATAAGGTTGAGACCGTATGAGATTCAAAATCTTGGAGGAATTGTGAAAAGGTCTTTGGATAACTAGGAGGTTAAATTGCCTGTTGGGCTTTTCCTTTAGTGTTGAAGCCCCATTTAGAGTATGTGGACTCACATTTTTAGTGCTTCCCGTATAACTTATTGGATAGGAATTACCCAGGCGGGATAGACAGATGGTTGGAATTATCTAAGGCAGGTGTTATGATTCCTCAGAGAGGAATTTGAGGTTTTAGAAAATGTATTATTGAAGTGATGGGCCATGGCATTTCATATGTAGTGCCAAGGAAATGAGGATTATAAATAGCAATATGGTGGAAGTATGGATGGCTTGGAAGCTTCCTTGAGGTAGGAAAGCAGATGCAATACAGGCAAAAAAGTGAACAAGATGGAAGTATACCTACTGTGTTCAGAAAGTGGGATGTCTGACTTTTTGCCTTCGTAGAGAGCAAGAGTCTCAGGTGATGATAAATTTAAGGTGTTTGGTTGAGGTGTGGAAGCCATGGACGTTTGCTAGTTTATGCCCAAGAACATGGAATCATCTTGAATCAGAGCAGGGATGGGAGTTAAAATGAAGAATGGGAGTCAGGTGACAGTGACTTTAATGGGTCAGGTCTATATGTTGGTGCTAATTCAGGGGAGAAGCCAGTGAAGTGCCTCAGTGGAGATGGAATTTTTGATAAGTGGTGGGTAATGCGGTTTCATAATGTGGAGAATGTACATTAGGAATGGAGAAGGTCAAGAATACCCACTATATTGCTTTGAGGTTGTACGTGGCATGCAAAACAATGACCCAGGATCACAGACAGCTTGAATCTGAAAGGAACACATATTGGATGCATGGTGATGTAACTGTCCTAAGTGCAAAGGAGAAATAGAAAGCTTGTGAATTCTCTTGTTAGTATTTCTTTATTTCAGAGCCCTGCCTGGAGTGGATCATAGAAGCAGTAAGAGGAGCATCCTTGTTCTCCTGGTTGCTGTCTGATCATATTTACTACTTACAGACTTGCAGAATGGCAGCCCCACATCTGTCCACTATATGTGGTGAGTTCCTAGGGTAGATTCACTTTACCAGGATTAAGTGGGCACAGAATAAGGGAGTTGAGTAGCCACAGGGGACTGGGAAGAAGGGGCTGAAATGAAAGGAGGTGGGTATGGAGCTCTATGAACACTTGGTGCCCCAGAATTTGCTCATGTCGGATTCAGTGCCCTTTGGGATTTTAGAGGAAGGGCATATGTGCATGGTGGGGAGAGGGAAGAAAATTTCGGGGTGGCACCTCCTTATCCCATCCATTTGTTTTATAAAGCTGGGAAAGGTAACAACTCAACCTTTCTGACTTTCAACTTCCCTTGCTAGGAAAGTTGAGACTATGTATGTGCCTAGAAACTCATGTCACCCTCTCCTCTAGCTCTGCCTGTCCTAGACCCTTCCTGTGCCCATGAGAGGATCACAGAGATGGAAAACTTCCACTCTGGGTTACAAGTGAGTCATAATTTTTTTTCTTTCTCCTAAAATACATTCCTGTCCCCTGGGGTGAATGCATCTCCTTCCAGTACTCTGGAACCTCATAACCCATCCTGCATTTTGAAACTTCTGATGGTGGTTAAGGGGCTTCCAAAAAAAAATTCTTCTACTACCTTACTACTTACAGGTTTTTTTCAGGCATCTCTCCTGCTTAGTGCTCTTAGTAAAAGAAGTAAAATGTAAAAGAAGGATATAAAACTGTCTGAGCCTCAAAAATGTATGGCCACTCTGTGGGAAATAATTTTTTCATTTAGGAAGTATTTCTCTCATTCTTGCAACGTGTTCAGGTCTCTGATTAACCCTGCAGATAGAAGAGAGTATGATTATGAAAGCTTTCAGACTAGGAGTGGAGAGATACATTTCATCATGTGTTAGAGAGGCCTTAAATTCTTGAGGCTGGTTGAAATTCCTTAAGGCGTGAGCATGAACAGAGAAGGAAAGATTCTGAGAACTGAATCCTGGGTTAAATGAAGAGCCCTCATCAGAATCTTGAATTTACTGTGAAACAGGTCTTTCATTTCCAGTGCTATTGTGCATGATCCTCTCCCCAGGAACATTGGTGGGGTTGGTGGCTGGTTGAGACAGAATGTGTTGTCATTTTAGAACTCAGTAACCTTTGAGGATGTGGCCATGGACTTCACCCAGGAGGAGTGGGCATTGCTGAATTCATCTCAGAGAAAACTGTACAGAGATGTGATGCTAGAGAACTATAGAAACTTGGTTTCACTGGGTAAGACTAACAGAATCCCTTGATTTATTTACTGAATTTGAGCATGGATTTCTTGGGTGAGTAAGACCCAATCAACTTGTGATACAGACTATAGGAGTTTTTTTTGTAGGCTTTTACTTTTAAGAAAAATTGCCATATTGAGACATAATTCACATACCATAATTTACTCATTTGAAGTGTACAAAACAATGGGGTTTTTTTCTAGTATATTCATATAGCTGTGCAATCGTCACCACTGTCTAATTCCATAACATTTTTGTTGCTCCACCTACAGGGTGTTTCATTCCTCCCTGCCTGCAGCCCCTGGCAACAACTAATCTACTTTCCTTTTCTACAGGTTTCCCTATTCAGCATTTCATATTAATGGAATCATACCAAATGTGGTCTTTTGTGACTTATTTTTTCACTTAGCATAATGTTTTCAAGGTTCATCCTTGTTGTAGCATATGTCAGTACTTATATCCTATTCATTGCTGAATAATATTCTCTTGCATAGATATACAACATTTTGTTTATCCATTCATCAGTTGAGGGACATTTGGCTTTTGACACTTGCTGTTATGAATAATGCTGCTACAAACACTCACATACAAGTTTTTGTGTGGACATACGTTGTCCCTTATCTTGGGTATACGCCTAAGAGTAAAATTGCTGGGTCATTTGGTAACTTTATACTTAACATTTTGAGGAACTGCCAAACTGTTTTCCAAACTGGCTGTATCATTTTACATTCCCTTCAGCAATGTATGCAAGTTCCAAATTCTCCACATTCTTACCAACACTTATTTCCTGTCTTTTTTTTTTTTTTTTTTGCGGTACGCGGGCCTCTCACTGTTGTGGCCTCCCGTTGCGGAGCACAGGCTCTGGACGCGCAGGCTCCAGACGCGCAGGCTTGGCGGCCATGGCTCACGGGCCCAGCCGCTCCGCGGCATGTGGGATCTTCCCGGACCGGGGCACGAACCCGTGTCCCCTGCATTGGCAGGCGGACTCTCAACCACTGCGCCACCAGGGAAGCCCGGGTTGGGAATATTCTTAAATTAAAATGTCACAGATCCTGTTCTCTTACCAAGGTTCAGTAATTTCTCTTGGAAAGACAATTTTTCATTTATGGAAAGTTGATCTCTGAAATGCTTTACTTTTGCTTTCTCTGTTAGAATTTTGTCATTTTGCTGCTTATAAAGTCACAACTGCCTATCTTCAGAACCTCAAAGAACAAGTTGTTGTCACAGTTTGATGGTAGTTTTTGTTGTATACTGCATGGTCCTCTCATATGTATCTTTCCCCATAATAGGACATCAACTCAGCAAGCCTCCTCTCATCACCCAGATGGAGCAGGAAGATGAAATGGAGATAGCAGAGAGAAGAATTCACCAAGACACCTGTTCGGGTGCGCACCAGGCATATATGAATGTCTTACCTACAAGATCTGTTCCCTGTGCTAAACATCCTACCATTTTATACTCTAGGAACTTGAGGTTATGTTTCCCATTTGTTTCAGATTGGGTTGGGGCATTACCTGCTTTTTGTCAGCATATTGTCACCATGTCTTTTCCAAAACTTTTTCCCACTTTGTTCAGATGAGCTGATTCTCCTTAAAACCAAACAACAACAGCAAAAACAAGGTATTTTGGAGAAATATACGCTCAATGGCAAGAAGGTAAGAGTCACATGGGATAATTTCTTGTCCTCACATTAGAAGTCCAGAATTCTCTAAGATAGAAAAGGACTAGAGGGTAATATGAGTGATATCACACTCATTTCACCAACAGAAAGCAGAAGATTCTCTAAGTATTCATTTGAAGGAAACTCATAACTTAGTTCCAAAAATGGTTACAGAGAATCCCCAAGGTAAATAATTGCATAATGGAATTAGTTGTTAAATGTTTAAGATACCCACTCTAAGGCAATTTTATCTTAAATCTGTTGAAGAGACTCCAGGGAAGCCATTTGGTAGAGCAATCAGCTTATTCAAGCTGATAAACTCAGTCAGAAACTGCATATGCACTAAGAAAATGTGAAACTCTCATGCTAATAAAGTGCTCATGAGATGTATCAGAATTTATGTCGGGGGAGATTCTCAGTCATGAACATGATAAATCCTGTGATTGTAACTCATATTTTAATCAATAGGAACAAACTCTTGGAGGCAGTCCCATTCAATGCAGTGAAATTGTTGAAGCCTTGAGTGTGAAATTTAACATTACTCAGAATAAAATTTACCCTAGCAAGAAACCCCATCGATACCTTGACTCTGCAAAAGCCCTTAGAGATTCTTCACGTCTTAAGCCATCTGAGGGAATTCTTCCTCGGGAAAAATCTTATGAATGTAAAAAGGACGAGAATGCCTTCCTCAGGAGTTCTAACTTAGCTGGGCACAAGAGACAACATACAGAAGAGACATCCCATGAACGCAGTGACTTGGGGAAAGTCGTAAATTCAATCTCACACCTTAAGAAGGATGAAAAAACTCACTCTAGAGAGAAACCTTTTGCGTGTAATCAGTGTGGTAAGGTATTACAGAGCCATTCATCCATTAAGTTGCACATGAGAATCCACACTGGAGAAAAACCGTTTAAGTGTGATCAGTGTGGGAAAGCCTACAGCTCAAGCTCTTACCTTACGCGTCACAAGAGAATTCATACCGGGGAGAAGCCCTATGAGTGCCGTGACTGTGGAAAAACCTTCCGAGATAGCTCACTTCTCAGACAACACTCAGGGACTCATTCAGGAGAAAAACCCTACAAATGTGATCAATGCACCAAAACCTTCAGTAGAAGCTATAGGCTTGCCATACACCAGATAACACATACTGGAGAGAAACCCTATACGTGCAATGACTGTGGGAAGACTTTCAGTATTCTCCCATATTTTAAAAGACATGAGAGAATCCACACTGGAGAGAAATCCATTGAATGTAGCCATTGTGGTAAAGCCCTGAGTAGTAAGTCATCTCTTAAGGTACACCTGCGGATACATACTGGAGAGAAACCTTTCAAGTGTGATCAATGTGGGAAGGCTTTTAGGCTGAGCTCCAACCTTATCACGCACAAGAAAATTCATACTGGAGAGAAACCCTGTAAGTGCAATGACTGTGGGAAGGCTTTCAGGGATCGTTCATGTCTTAAAGAACATGTGAGAATTCACACTGGAGAAAAACCCTTTACATGTAATCAGTGTGGAAAAGACTTCAGAGTGAAATCTTTCCTCATTTTGCACAAGAAAATTCACATGAAAATGAAACATGAATGTAAGGAATGTGGGAAAACCTTCCGTGGACTCTTATCTTACAGGAGGCATATGAAAATCCATACCAGGGACAAGAAACCTTTTAAGTGCAGTGAGTGTGGAAAAGCTTTTAGCAGGCATGTGTCCCTTACAGTACACATGAGAACTCACACTGGAGAGAAACCCTACGAGTGTAATCATTGTGGAAAATCCTTTAGTGTAAAGTGTAATCTCAATGTGCACAAAAGAATACATACTAAAGAAAAACCCTATAAATGCAATGTCTGTGGGCAAGGTTTCAGTAAATCCTTACCCCTTCAGCGTCATGAGAGAACTCATGCTCAATAAATCCCCTTTTAATGACATCCATGTAAAGTAGCTTTCAGTGAACTCTCAATCTTTAAGGCATACAACCAAATGCTAAGTGAAAAGAACTGGTTGTGAAGAATGTGAGAAAGCCTCTAAGTAATGCATATATGGAAGAAACCTAAGTTATGCAATGACTGTGAGAAATCCTTTATTCATTCATTATCCCTTAGAAGATATGTGATAACGCTGAAGGGAAAATGTTTTAATATCTTCAAGACTTGTTACTTGGGCTTCCCTGGTGGCGCAGTGGTTGAGAGTCCGCCTGCCGAGGCAGGGGTCACAGGTTCGTGCCCCAGTCCGGGAAGATCCCACATGCCGCAGAGCAGCTGGGCCCGTGAGCCATGGCCACTGAGCCTGCGCGTCCGGAGCCTGTGCTCCGCAACGGGAGAGGCCACAACAGTGAGAGGCCCAAATACCGCCAAAAAAAAAAAGACTTGTTACTTGAGAAAAATAAACACCTAATGTTTTAAGCCAACATGTTTTCCATGTGTTTGTTCCTTTGTTTTGTGTGTGTGGTGGTGGTAGGGAGGTTTTTTGTTTTTCTTTTTTCACTCCTAATTGACTAGTCACTAATCAAGAGTCCACAGATGGTCAGTTTTTAAAAATAAAGTTTTATATATGGTAACAAAAGTGAAAAATTATTTGGTACAGGGATGTTTGTTTAATAGAAGTTTACCTATTGGATAAAGCTCTTAAGTTGTGCTTACAAATCATCTGTGTACCTCTATATTTCATGTGTCCTAACCTACCATTGCCTGCACAAAGTCTGTAATGAACCTTCCCATGAAGATTGCAGATGGTGAAATTCTCCTTGGAATTCTGAACTTTTTCCAACACATTTTGTTTACATTTAACATGTAGAAGAATGTACAATTGCATGAATTTTTACAAGGTAGAACACTTCTATATTAACTACTGTACACTCTGGTTAAGATATAGAATATTAGGGCTTCCCTGGTGGCGCAGTGGTTGAGAGTCCGCCTGCTGATACAGGGGACACGGGTTCGTGCCCCGGTCCAGGAAGATCCCACATGCCGCAGAGCGGCTGGGCCTGTGAGCCATGGCCGCTGAGCCTGCACGTCCGGAGCCTGTGCTCCGCAAGGGGAGAGGCCATGATAGTGAGAGGTCTGCGTACAGCAAAAAAAAAAAAAAGATATAGAATATTATAGGCACCTGAGAATCATTCTTTAATGCTCTTTCCATTACTAATCACTCTTGATTCCTACCACCAGAATGTAGGTACTCTGTGGAATCATGTCTTTTTAATTTTTTAAGTCAAACTATAGTTGATTTACAACGTTGTGTTTGTTTCTGGTGTACAGTAAAGTGATTCAGTTATAGATATATACACATATTCTTTTTCATATTCTTTTCCATTATGGTTTATTGTAGGATATTGAATATAGTTCCCTGTGCTATACAGTAGGATGTGGGACTTTGTTGTTTATCTATTTTATATATAGTAGTTTGTATCTGCTAATCCCAAACTCCTAATTTATCCCTTCCTCACCCCTTTTCCCTTTGGTAACCATGAGTTTGTTTTCTATGTCTGTGAGTCCGTTTATGTTACCTAAATAAGTTCATTTGTGTCTTTTTTTTTGGCCACACTGCGAGGCTTGCAGAATCTTAGTTCCCCGACCAGGGATCGAACCTGGGCCCTGGCAGTGAGTGCTGAGTCCTAACCACTGGACTGCCAGGGAATTCCCTGGAGTCATGTATTTTAAAAACAACTTTATTGAGATATAATTCACATACCACAAAAGTTCACCCATTCGAAGTGTAAAATTCAGTGATTTTTTAGTGTATTTAAGGTTATGTGCACTCTGTGCCTGATACTGTATGTTATCATTTGTGCCTGGCTTCTTCTGCTCAGCATTACATTTTCGAGATTGATTTTTGCTGTTGCATTTAGCAGGAGTTTATTTTCATTGTTGCATAGTTTTCTATAGAATGAATATGCACACTTTATCATTCACCTGTTTTGAACATTTTATCTGTTTATAGCTGGGATATTTTACAAATGGCTCTGCCACAGACATTATTGTGCATGTTTTTTGATTCACAGTTGTACATAATTTTGTTGGGTGTGTGTTTAGGAGTGCGTATTTATTCAAAACTACCCAACAATTTTCCAAAGTAGTTGCACCAATTTACATTCCCAGTCTCTTGCCAATATTCCACATTGTCTTTTCAGTTTGGCCATTTTGATGAGTATGGAGTGCCATATTTTGATTTTTAAAATTTTATATTGAACTACTTTTACACTTAGAGAAAAGTTGCAATAATTGGGAGTTGCTGTATATCCCTCAGGGTTTCTCAGTATTAATGCAATCAGTTTATCAGTCACTTCCTTTATGATTAGTGCTTTTTTGTGCTTTCTTTAAGATTGTTGGTTTATGTCTATTTTTCAGGCAACCTCAAAAAGCCTGCCCAGGTAACTAGTAAATTGGTTTCCTTGCTACCTCTTTCCTACTAACTTCATTCATGTAGGGACTTTAATTAAGAAAGGAGAAAATTTTCTTAAGTTACTGTGTGACAATGATCCCATGATACATTCCCTGCATCCCTGAGTCTCTGTCCCTATGGGGACTTAAACCACTCTTCCCTAGTCCTTTAGTGATAATCTCTGGCTCAGAGAAGGCTGGGAGTTGGTCTTAGGAGGAGGCCATCAGGTCCCTTAAGGTTAGACCTGAGAATCCAATAATGCGATACCCTGGATGTGAGAGGAAACGTGGGAAGAAAATGACATATACCTGTCTGTCCTCTCAGGGTCCGGAAGTCAGCAATGCAGGAGCTCTCCCTTCTAGCATCTGTGTTCCTTAAGGCTATAAGCTGCCTGGGGGAAGTAATGACAGTACACATTTGGCTAATGAGGAGCTTTGGAAACTGAGCCCCCAGGGCCATAGAGATTGCATATAGTCTATCTGTGACCACTCTGCTCAATAGCCCTACTCAGGTCAGGAAAGAGCATACTGGAGTCTCCTGAGATGATCCCTCTTGCCCAGCATGCAGTTGCCTTACTTGGTCCATCTGCCCTTCCTGGGGACAGATTTTCCATCCCCATCCTTCAATATCCAGAGGAAAGGTGAATGAGTACATTGATGGCTCCAAGGTAATCTGAAGTGCCCAATAAATGCAGTGAGAAATTGAACAGTTTATTTTTTTTTAACCAGCCTATCTGGAGGACATCCAAGAGGTAAGAAAGTTCAGTGGAATTACAAGTGAGATGACAGGTTTTTGACGTTCTTGGTGTATTTACTTTTCCACATTCATCCTATTTGCAATCAGCTTTCATCATTTCTGGCTCCTATTCTGTCTTCTAAATCCAAGGGACTCCTTCCCCAGATGAGTATGAATTAGCCTCTTCAGAAATCTGGCAGATGTTTTTACAATTCTCTGGTTTCCCTCATTTATTTGGTAGTGAGTGGGGCTGGAGTGACGTGAGTTTGGCTTCTCAATTTTCCCAGTCCTCATTCCAGATTTCATCTTTAGAGAACTCAATCAAGCCTTGTCCTTATCTCTTGCTTCTGAGGACTGTGGGAGAGGACGTTGAGTCTACTGTTTAGTCTTTCTTTGAAAACCTCCAAACAAAACATTACAAAATATTTTAAACCATGAGAACTGCACAGCAAGCAGTAAAATAAACAGCCATGCAACCACCTTCCAGAATTAATGCCAAGCTTTTGCCATATTAGCTTCAGCCACCTTTAAAAGATTGTGACGAAGGCAGACATCATTACAGAGCATGCTAGGTGCTCAGAAGAAAACCACCAGGACAGAAGTCCAGAGCCATGAGCTTACAGAGTAAGCAGGGTCTCAGTGCAGTCACAGGAAAACTTACATGTGTGTTGGAGCACATGGGCATGTGAACCTGCCTTTTCAACTATAAGTTGTATGAAATGTAGGTGTAGGTCAAGTATTTCTTTTTCTTTTGGCTGCGTTGGGTCTTTTTTGCTGCGCGTGGGCTTTCTCTAGTTGTGGCACGCGGGGGCTACTCTTTGTTGCACTGCGCAGGCTTCTCATTGTGGTGGCTTCTCTTGCTGCAGAGCACGGCTTCTAGGCACGCGGACTTCAGTAGCTGCGGCGTGCGGGCTCACTAGTTGTGGTGCACGGGCTTAGTTGCTCCCGCGGCATGTGGAATCTTCCCGGACCAGGGCTCGAACCCCTGTCCCCTGCATTGGAAGGCGGATTCTTAACCACTGCACCACCAGGGAAGTCCCAGTAGCTTACTCTTGACATTTTCTTTCTTTTTTTAAAAATTGAGATATAATTGACATAGAACATTGCATTAGTTTTAGGTGTACAATATAATGATTTGATATATGTATCTATTGCAAGATGATGGGCAAAGAACAGCTTTCATGTCAAAGTTGAGGGAGATATGAGGCTGCTGAGTTCATTTCAGAAGGACTGCAGAGGCAAGCTGAGGAGACTTTCACTGGCCAAAAGACAATTTGAGAATTAATATAAATAATAACTGCAGTGTATTGAAATATATCAAATGCATTTAAAATCCAGGAGTTCATGATGACAACATTTATCGTTGGATAATGCTGAAAACCAATTATTTTAAAAAGTGATGAACACAGGAATCAAGAAGTATTCTTTCTTATAAGAACTCAATTTCTTATAAGAAATAAATCTATTTTTTACAAAATATTTATTTAGTTATTTGGCTACGCCAGGTCTTAGATACAGCACGAGGGATCTTCATTGTCAGTGCGGGATCTTTAGCTGCGGCATGTGGGATCTAGTTTCCTGACCAGGGATTGAACCCGGGCATCCTGTGTTGGGAGAGTGGAGTCTTAGCCACTAGACGACCAGGGAACTCCCAGAAATCCACCTATTTAATTCGGGAAACTTCATCTTTATGGAAGTATTTCAGCCAATAACTGAAAAAAGAATTAAAATGTCAGCATTTTGTAACTCCTGGTGAATTAATAGATCCAGGCAATAATTATTACAAGAAGACAAATAGGCAATATGTTCTTCCTCATGAATATATTTAAGGATGTCAAAAATTGAACCTAAATTTAATCAAGATTCTAGACTAGAAGTAGGCACATTTTTTTCAGTAAAGAGCTAAATAGTAAATGTTTTAGGTTGTGTGGGCTATACGGTCTCTGTCACAAGTATTCGCAACTCAGACGTTGTAGCGGGGAAGCTGCCATGGACCATAAATAAACGAATGGCTGTGTTTCAGTAAACCTTTATTTACTGAAATAAGCAGCAGGCAGAATTTTGTCCACAGACTGC